TTAAATTGTTCTGCCTGGAACAAATATTTCTTTAACTTTATTAGAACCTCTCCCTAAGGGGTTCTGTTGTCCTGGGTGGTTTTAAATATTCATCTCATCCAAATACAATAAATCTTTCTTTAATATATATATATATATTTTTTTACCCAAGACCTGGTCTGTGGCTTTGCAAGGTAAATATTACGTGATGAGCTAAATAATAAAACCCAGGCAAAACAAGTGATAAGCTGTTTTCTTAGTAATTACATTTTTTCTCAAGTTTTCTGTGGTTGTACTAATCCTACTTCTTTTCATGATTTAGACAAAGATGACTTCATTGTACATTTAAAGCTTCTAAATTTTTTTTTTAATATATTTTATTGATTTTTTTTACAGAGAGGAAGGGAGAGAGATAGAGAGTTAGAAACATCGATGAGAGAGAAACATCGATCAGCTGCCTCCTGCACATCTCCTACTGGGGATGTGCCCGCAACCCAGGTACATGCCCTTGACCGGAATCGAACCTGGGACCTTTCAGTCCGCAGGCCGACGCTCTATCCACTGAGCCAAACCGGTTTCGGCTAAAGCTTCTAAATTTATGCCCACCTCAGCTGATACTTCGCAGCTAACATTTAAGGTTCTCTTTTGTACTCTTATTCTTCCCTTTTCTAAGAAAGTTACATGCAAACTTTTTTTTTTTAAAGCAGATGGCTACCTAAGTTTATAGTTTCATGTTTCCTGAGATATCAACCTCCTGAATGAAGCTTGCTTCTTGGCCAAAAATATGCCTATGTAGTTTGTTTAAGTTTCCAAACTCTGAGTAAAAACAAGTCAACTAAGTAATTTAAACGGCGAGATAACACCCACTGTTTGAGCAGGAGTCATGTAAGTTTGGGTTATAGGTTTTCAGTTCTGAAAGGTTCATGGACAGGCTCATGGTCTTCATGGGGGCAGAGCTATTCTGCACTTTTTCTCTATGGCGCCGACTGTAAACCTGAATCTGGGACATGCTTGAGTGATTTCTCTGAAGCCATAAAGAAAATTTAACTTGGCGTACATTTTAATATTTTTGGTAATTTGATTACACTGCATTATTAATAACGATAACTCTATAACTTAAAAATAGTCTTATTTTTAAATACACCCTCTAGATCCATGCATGCTGTTGCAAATAGTAAGCTTTCATTCATTTTTATAGCCAAGTGATAGTCCATGGTATACGGGACCACAGCTTTTTTCTCTACTCGTCTATTTGTGGGCACTGGGGCTGCGTCCAGGTCTTGGATATTGTCAATGGCACTGTAATAAACATAGGGGTACACATATTCTTTTGAATTGGTGTTTTGAGTTTCTTCAGATATTCCCAGATGGATACTGGAAACATCGGGGAACCCTGTAAAAATATATGATTGTCTAACCACCATGCTGTGCACCTGAAACTAGTACAAAATAATGTTGAATACAAAAATATCTATACTTTTGACTAAATGAAAAAATAATATTTTACTGATAGACATAAAATATTTTTTTCCATATTGATGATGCTACAATTTTAAATGTAATCATATGTAATCACTGAAAGAGGTATGTTGTGCCACTTTTTCTCACCCTCAATATGGAACTGCTTGTAATACCTGACACTCATCCTCATCTCCCTCACCTCCATGTGTTTATTTTTAAAAAAAAAAATATATATATTTTTATTGATTTCAGAGAGGATAGGAGAGGGAGAGAGAGAGAGATAGAATCAATAATGAGGCAGAATCATTGATAGGCTGCCCCCTGCATTTCCCACACTGGGGATGGATCCCACAACCCAGGGAATCGAACCATGACCTCCTGGTTCATAGGTCGACGCTCAACCACTAAGCCACACCGGCCGGGCTCCCTGCCTTCCTTTATGGGTCTCTCAGCAGATTCCGAGCCATCCTTCCATCAGCAGGTGCTTCCAGGAGCCGGGAGAAAGAAAACTCCCACAGCTCCTGGGTTTTGCCTGCTGTGCGCACTGCTCTCCCCCCCGTCACTAGTCACTAGAAGGATGCTTGGCAAGGAGTAACAGCTCAATTAATGATGATTGAGTGAGTGAGCGCATGCATGTCTTCTGACTGGGTTGGTACCCGCATTCGCCTGGCTCCGCAGCTCATTACCCTGAAGCATCTGCTTTCCTGTCTGTCTGCTTACTCCTCTGTAATTCCTTGCAGATGAATCTTTTGTGTCTGGGTTGCCCCTGAAGTGTCTCAGCCGCAGCTCTGCGTGTTCACGTCTTTTTCCTCCTTAAAGCGGAGTCCGCGGAGCCTCAGCGCCAGGGTCCTTGATAAATATTTAAGTGAAGGCATCCAGCTCATAAAAAAAGTGTCCTGGATGATGGCTACCTCAAGTAGGGTGTGTTCAATAGACAAGGCAGTGCTTTAAGAAGTAATTACTACCTACCTACTTGAGAGAAATCGGTGATCCCTCTGAGCATTTCTAGAAAGCGTCAAACCAATCTAAACAGATAGGGGTTTTCTCAGAGGCTTAAGGTGATAATGCAGCGTCAACACTGTAAATGACAAACCCGCACGCCTGTGCCTCTCTAGACGGGCTGAACACTGCTGGTAAGTCAGCGCCACCGATGGTGCGCTGTGTGTGCTTTAGCCCTTCAAGTTGCAAGGGGAGGGAGAGAGAGATAGAAACATCAACAATGAGGCAGAGTCATTGATAGGCTACCTCCTGCACACCCCACACTGGGGATGGAGCCCACAGCCCAGGCACCTGCCCTGACTGGGAATGGAACCATGACCTCCTGGTTCAGAGGTCGATACTCAACCACTGAGCCACACCGGCCGGGCGCCATGCCTTCCTTTATGGGTCTCGCAGCAGATTTATGGGACACTCTGGCCGAGGAACACACCAGGGAAGACAAGGGCACGCAAAAGCCAGGAAAAACACCCAAGGGTCCAAAGCTCATCCCTCCCCGGGCCCCACAATCTGGTATTGTCGAAGCAACGTAACAACTTGACGGCAGGCTCTGAGCCTGCGCTTGAGGTTGCGATAAGAAACAGGCATCCTTCTCCCTTGAATCTTCACTTTTTCACCCAGTGCTGTTTTATTTTTTACTTTTATTTGTTTAGTTTGTTTTGTTAATCTTCACCTGAGGATATTGTTCCATTGATTTTTAGAGAGAGTGGAAGGGATGGGGAGAGACAGAGAGAAAACATTGATGTGAGAGAGACACATTGGTTGGTTGCCTCCCGCACATGCACATGCCCAGACCAGGACTGGGGATGAGCCTGCAAACGAGGAACATGCCCTTGACCAGAATCGAACCCAGGACTCTTCAGTCCAAGGGCTGATGCCCTATCCACTGAGCCAACTGGTTAGGGGTTGTGTGTGTGTGTGTGTGTGTGTGTTTAACGTTCCATGGAGGACATTTTCCCACATCTCAGAACAAGAAAACCCCATGCCCTTCCTAACGGTCTACCCGTGGTCGGCAAACTGCGGCTTGCGAGCCACATGGGGCTGTTTGGCCCCTTGAGTGTGACTCTTCCTAAGCCTTAGGAGTACCCTAATTAAACTAATAACAATGTACCTACCTATATAGTTTAAGTTTAAAAAATTTGGCTCTCAAAAGAAATTTCAATCGTTGTACTATTGATATTTGGCTCTGTTGACTAAAGAGTTTGCCGACCACTGGCTCTAGATCACTTTCATCTGTACGAACAAATTGATCATGTATCTCAGAGATATTTCCCCTGCATTCACACTGTGAAAACAAAGAGCAGATTGTAGAGAGAGCGCGGAGCAGAAGTTAGGTCCCACCCCTGTAAGTACCATCTACACACACTCTATGTTGTATGTTTGCCCATGAACTTTGCTTCCTGTCAGTTTGTATTTCCTTATTCAGATTCCCAGCTCCCTCAAGATTTGAATGCTTCCTTGAATCTCTGTGACCAGGCCCTTTATGGGAAGAAGAGATTTGGATAATATGCAGAATATGCTTTGTTTAGAAATGAAATGAACATCATGTCTCTTTTGCATGTTTTTGCATAATAAAAATGTAAGACAGAGTGTAAGTTCCCAAAGACAGTGTAGCACCAATGTCCCATCTAGCTGTTCTTTAGAGACTCAAGAGTAGTGTCATTAAGTGCAATCAAAGAAGCGTTAGGCATAAAAAAATGGAAAGACCAACATAGGTTATTTTAACAACCCTAGAAGGTTTACATTTTTGCATGTAATTTATGAAAAAAATAATTGTATTGAACATACAGTTTTAGACAGTCTATAATTAATGTGTAAAATACACTAAACTCTAAAAAACAACATAAAAACCATGTATAATTTCATCTCTTCAAATTAACATGTATTGATAGGGTGAGGTTTCTGTCTATATTTTCTGCCTATATATGTGTATACGCATGTGTGAGGCTCAAATATGTGAGCAATAGTTTCTATATTGTATATAGCATATGTTAGTGTCTATTTTTTAAAAAAATATATTTTATTGATTTTTTACAGAGAGGAAGGGAGAGGGGTAGAGAGTTAGAAACATCAATGAGAGAGAAACATCGATCAGCTGCCTCCTGCACACTCCCCACTGGGTATGTGCCCGCAACCAAGGTACATGCCCTTGACCGGAATTGAACCTGGGACCCCTGAGTTTGCAGGCCGACGCTCTATCCACTGAGCCAAACTGGTTAGGGCTGTTAGTGTCTATTTTAATTATAGTGTATAGTCCTTGAGTTCTATTTATTACCCACCCTATTATACTAAATCTTCCCTCATATTTTAACATGCACAACATTGTTTTTTAATGGTTGAATAATGGATATAGGTTATAATAATATTTGGATATAAGAATGTTGCAACCTTTGGTAAGTTAACACAATGTAAATTATTTCTTACTGAGACGATTCATCAAAGGCTCCTTGGGAATCATAAAATAATTTCCAATGCCCAACTCTCTAATGACCCTTTATCATGTGATCACTAGACACAAAGTGAACCCATTCACACAAGGAAAATAAATAAACCCAGGCACTTACTAATTTCAGTAGCAATGATCGTTATGTTGTGCCATACACTTAACTCTCTGTCAAGTGGCGTTGCCAGCGTTATCTTCCCATCATCTGCGTTAATGTTGAATTGCCTCTCCAGGTCAGTGTGCCGGTCGATGGAAAACCTACAAAACAGATAGATCTGTAATCTATTTCCATGCTCACGTGATCCAGACAGCCCATAGCAGACCTTTAGTCATCCTCGGAGAGCCATCATCATGAAGTCAAATGAATTGGGAAACTCAGCGGCATCGTCATTTGCAAAACCAAATGACTGGACAAGGCACAAGAAACTTGATAATTACTGTCCAAGGGGTAATTAGCTACCTATGCAACAAGGAGGTCAGACACCGCCACAGGTTTCAATGGGCAGCATCTTCAGAAATGGATGTTGATGAAGAGTTAATTGGACAATCCATCACATTTATTGGACAGCTTATGGTAATTAGCAGTTGCCACAAAATATCATCGAAGACGATGAACTCAAGCCCAAAGCAGGATGGGGCCGAGCAGTGGGTAATTTATGGCCGTTCAGAGGAAATGGGTGTTTGTGTTAAACTTCCATTGGACTAGCCAACATGTGTGTGTTTGTTTTTGCTGGTTTGTTTTGTTTTTATTTATATACAGTACATATATTAAGTATATATTTAGGCTTTCTATCAGTCTCTGTCCATAGAAATCAGACAGTTACTGATTCTCTAGTAATAATTTTTAAAAGTTGGAAGAGATATTTTAATAGATTTATAATACTAGATTCTATGAAATTGAAAATTTTAAATGGACTTGTTAGCAGTTCCTATATTGAGAAAATTTTTGGATAAGACAGTATTATGGTGTTTTGTGTCTAGAGCCAACTGCTTCTCTGGTGTACTGAGTATTAAGATTACATAGGAATTACGTTTTCCATAGCATTTATCAATATCCACTTTATAAATCAAGATCTGTGCTTTCACTACGAAATGTCAAATATCAGCAACAGAAGGTATAATTAGAAAAATTGTCCCATAAGTAAGCAGTGAAGTGAACTGAAACAGGATAGAATAAAAGCCTGAAGAAGGGCATTATGAACTGAATTTTTGTGTCTCCCTGCAACTCATATGTTAAAATCCTAACTCCCAATGTGGTAGAATTTCTAAGTAAGTTCTTTGGGTTATAATTATAATTAGGTCATGGGTGTGGGGCCCTCATGATGAAATTAATGCCCTTATATTTTTTTTAAAGTTGACACAGGGTCCCTCTCTGGTTTCTGCCAGTAAGCGGGCAGGAAGACAACCACCTGCAAAGGAGGAATCTGGTTCTCACCAGACACCGAATCTGTAGGTGCCCTGGTCTTGGATGTACAGCCTCCAGAACTATGAGAAATACATTGCTGTGGTTTGGGCCACCAGTCTATGCTGTTCCATAACACAGCCCAAACAAGACAAAGGTCACGGACAATCCCATTTTAGGAGGAAGAACGGCCGGAAGCGTTTACGGTTAAGGTGGCCTCCTAGGAAGTGCCCATGAAATCTCTCCATTCACTGATACCCATTGACCCTAAATAGGAAACCTGGTTTGAAGCTATTGGTGTCGGGCATATTTTTCTTTTTATACATTTTTATGAACATTTATTATATAATCAAGTTGAAACTACGTTATAAGAAACTAAGGGAAAAATAAATTTCCCACAATTTTACGGGTACAGTTTTGTATTGTTAATATTTTAGTGGATTTCATTGCAAACAGTTTATTATGCATCTCTTCTTATTTATGTACATCTACTTACTTGTTTCTATATCTAATTGTGACAACAAATGGATGACAAGATAGATGGATAGATGAGTAGGCAGATACATAGATAGATTCATAGGTAGATAGATAGATAAATAGATAGATAGATAGATAGATAGATAGATAGATAGATAGATAGATAGATAGATTATTCCTTTCTCCTTTTAACAAATTCTTTTTTGTTAAAAATGGTATCCCTATCCTTTATATCAGATGCAAACACCAGGGAAAAAGGCATTTATGTTAAATCCTTCGCACCAAAGACAAGCATCATTTAACAGTTTGGAGTAATATTAAAAAGTACTTAATTTTATTGGCAATAATTTATTGCTAAATTCCTTGAGAAAATATTGTATAATGAAATTATAACTCCTGATTCAATGAAAAGCTACAAAAGAACACTAAGAAGCTGACTTACATCTATATACCAGGCATTCTACACCTACCCCACACCTTACCCCAGGATGTTTAGAGAAATTCAGAAAGGATTTAAGAACCCAAAGTATTTAAGAACCCATATATATGGATTAACAGTGCTCTGGACCAAATCCTGAGCCTGAGAAAGTGCTCACTGCAAAACACTTCGATCTGTTGTATTACGAAAAGGAGACCAAAAGCCATTTTTTGGGGGGATTATTGATGAGACCAATGAGGTCCCAAGTTCAACTGTAAAATAACTTGACATGTGTTTTGCTTCACATATCATGTGGACTCTGACTCTTAAAAGAGCTAAGAAATGTCTGGAGGATTAATTATCACTTTGGCATCATATTCATAAATAAAATTTGCGGGTATTGCTGGACTGTAGTAATTGTATTATCTCACTTCTTATATTTCACACATTCACGCGTCAACCAATTTCCCTGAGGCCACCACAAAGGAGAATCAGCCTAATCACCGGTACCCATGGAACCCAAACAGGCTCCTTGGCGATTTGATGGATGTGTAGTAATTGCCTAGGACTTCTGGCCCAGAGGAAGCACTGGGACAGTGACAGGGTTGTGGAAGGTGTTTTGTATTTTTTTTTAAGTTGTTTGTTGAATTCCTTATTTAAATTTGTATCATGCAGAACTCAAATTTGGAATAAACTCTCTCCATTATTTATATATTAGAGGCCCAGTGCATGAAAATTCATGCACTGGAGGGGGAGTCCTTCAGCCCAGCCTGCCCCCTCTCACAGTCCAGGAGCCCTCTGGTGTGGGAGGCAACCCGGCAATTAGGGGAAGGCGATTCCCCATCACACTTCTGCTGCTGCCACTGCCAGCAGCGCAAGCCTCTGCTGGTCCTGGTTATCTGAACCTCAGGCAGCCCTGGGCGACTGGGCAGCTGCCATCTGAGGCTTGCCTGTGCCTCAGGGCAGCCCTGGGTGGCTGGGGGGCTGAGGGGACTGGGAGTCTCTGGAAGCAGGCACACGGAGTGGCCGGGCCCGCGGGCCTGGCCTTGCCACATGCCTACAGCCCCAGTAGGGCTAAGGGGACTGGGCACCACCATCTTTGAGGGCGTGGCAGTCAATTAGCATATTCCCTCCCTATTGGCTGTGGGTGCTGCCATCTTTGCAATGGCGTGAGGTTCAATTAGCATATTCTCTCTTTATTAGATATGATTGTTATTTCTGGGATAATTAATAAATTCACTGAGCCTGAATTTCCTTTTTCTTTAATATATTTTTATTGCTTTCAGAGAGGAAGTGAGAGGGAGAGAGAGATAAAAACATCAATGATGAGAAAGAATCATGGACCAGCTGCCTTCTCCACACCCCCTACTGGGGATTGAGCCTGCAACCCGGGCATGTGCCCTGACCTGGGAATTGAACCATGACCTCCTGGTCCATAGGTCGATACTCAACTACTGAGCCATACCTGCTGGGCTGTGCTTCAGTTTCTTTACTGGTCAAATATGAAATACCCATATACTAGGGCAGGTGAGAGGGGGCTTGTGAGGACTAAAAATAAAGCATAAATCAGTCCCTGGTACTTAGCAGGCAATGAAGACATTTTCATCATCATCATCACCATAATCATCTTGTCCATTACATGGAACTTTCATAAACTTCTCTGCCTGGAAGGTGGTGGAGAGGGCACCTTTCTTAACATTTTATAAATAGCATAAAACTGGGGAAACATTTGGGTATTATTTAATTCCCATAACTCTAACAGAGGCATTGTCATTTTTAAAAGTTCTAGCTCATGACAGACTTTATGGGGTGAGTCACAAGAATTTATAAAATCAGCTATAAATACAGCCCTTTAGTGAGATCAGAGGTAAGAATGTCATAATATTGTAAGATTACACAATGGGAGGAACTTGATGGGGGAAAAAATGACTTTGTTTAAAATTCAATTTAAAACCTACCTCAACTATTCCAAGGGCCCCTTGCTGCCTAAGTAGACATTGCACACGTTTTATTGCCAATAGACTTTATGATGAAGGCTCCCAAAAATTGCTAAGCAGCCCCAAATCTTGACTTAATATAGTCAACAACCATGCATTAAACACCGAATGTGTACCAAGTACAGTGCCCTTTCCTTCTTCTGTCAGGTGACATTGGTTAAAAAAACTGCCAAAAACGGTTTGGCTCAGTGGATAAAGCGTCTGCCTGCGGACTGAAGGGTCCCGGGTTCGATTCCGGTTAAGGGCATGTACCTGGGTTGTGGGCACATCCCCAGTGGGAGATGTGCAGGAGGCAGCTGATTGATGTTTCTCTCTCATCGATGTTTCTAACTCTCTATCTCTCTCCCTTCCTCTCTGTAAAAAATCAATAAAATATATTTTAAAAATACTATATAGGTTTCATATGTGTTCTACATCATCTGTATAGTGTATTGTATGTCCACCACCCCAAGTCAAGTCTCCTTCCATCACCATTAATCCCTCCTCTACCCTCTTCTACCTGCTCCCATTCCCCTTCCCCTCTGCTAATCACCATGCTGTTGTCTGTGACTAAGAGGTTGTTTTTTTGTGTGTTTTTTTTTTCTCCTTCATCTCTTAGGGGAAAGACATAATTTGGCAAGTGACATGAGAAAAAGATCCCCAAACTCTTTGTAGTGTTTGTCTATACCAGTCTTCACCCTTTTCAACATATCTGCTACTATGAGTATTTCCATAGAGCATAGATTCCAAGCTGAGGAGATGATAGGCAATATTGGGTTTCCTAGTTCCCTTCTCCCTACTCCCAAAGAACCTTCTTCACCTGACCTGACTCTTAGCTCATCTTCCCTTCCTTAAGAATGTCCTTTCTATTATTCTAGTGTTAAGCGTTTGCCAACAGTTTGTACTTTTAAGACAAGGACAGAATGTTTGGTTTAGATATTATAATATCACATTAGATAGCATTTTGTACTACAGTTACTCAGTA